AAAGCAATCCACGATAGGTTGGTTAGACTGGAACTCTAAGATTCCTTATACTGAAGTAACTGAAAAATTCAAAAGAATTAGAATTTGATACATTATAAAACAAAGATTGAGACGACTGTCTGTACACAGCATGTTAATCCTGTTGCTTTTGTATGCTCGTGAATGTATATATGCATCAAAATTTATCAAACTAACAGTACAGTGCTTTTAATCTTTTTTCACCTTTCAATAAACTACAGCATTCTCTTAAACTCCTACTGTGTGCGTAATAGTACTTTTCAAGAAGTAAAGTACCGTTTTTATATCACTAAGAAATCTAGTTTGTTGCAAAAATTATTTCTTATAAATAAATAACATAATCCTTTAACTGGTTGGTCTAATTCCACTTTTGCACTAACTTTGAGTATTACCAGGTATGGGTTTTGAAACTTATTTGAGAATTTTAAATGGTGCCTATATCTGACCAATTTAATATATAGTATTTTATCAGGCAAAAAATAGGCTCTTCACATGTTAAATAATATCCCAAGTAATAAATGCATTTTTATCTTCCAAGATAACTAGTTTCAGGGATAATTATGAAAATTGATAAAGGTTAGACAGACACACACACACCAATGTCTCCAAAAAATTTGTAACCATCCAAGATACAGTACAGTATACAAAAAATTAAGTACTGTAGTTGATATACAAGTACAGTAGTCTCCATTTCAAATTCTGTACTAATACCCCTTATGATAGTCAAACTTACAAAGATCATTGTATAAACTCAAGACTTGATGAGACAGGATTGCAGAACTTCTGACAAAAAGAAGTCTGTAAACACTGACATAGCTTGAAAGTCTAACTATACAATAATAAGAAATATCAACCTAAATCACAATTTTTTTACAGCCAGCTGTAAAATCTGTTTCACCCATGGCAGTTCTGATACAATACCTTATAACTGAAAAAATAAAACCACCTTGTGAGCAAGTCATTACTGCATCAAAAATTTTAAAACTTTTATCACTCATTTTGGTCTCCGTCAATAACTGCTGGAATCCATTTCCTTTGCCATTATTTAATTTGTGATATGAGGCAACTGCCATAATCTGAAGTAATATAATATGAAAATTAAGTAAACATACCATGTGTGAATATTAAACCAATACTTTTGATATAGAGCATACTGAAGTTCACGACCTGTAGTAGTACCGTATATATAAAACTACATTAAATTCCTTGCAATAGTATATTGCAACTGAATTTATTCTACATTTCTTTGTTTACTTAAATAATGTACTGTAGTGTTTATTATTGCAGGCCCTTGTCATACAATGCTAGAGGGTAACCATAATCAAGAACAAACACATAAATATAATCATAAATTTAATAAAAAAAAATTCCACTTGAAAATATTTAACCTACAACACTATGTCAAGAATGTTTAGTAAGGTAAAGCTGTCAATAATATATAGATTCAGGCCAACACGGTACTAAATTTTGGTGTAGAGTACATAATTTTAGTAATTTTTTTTACTGTTACATGTGCACACAATCGTTCATACTGAATATGTAAAACAAAAAAATAAATAATAAAATTCAAATAATCATAAGGGCAAATTTGAACACAGAGAATAAACATTTCTTATGTCCGCAGGACTTAATCTACAGCATGACCATGAGAGGGTGCTTCTGTCTCCCATGTCCTTGGTGAAATGATTGTCAAATGGCAATGCAGTACTGTATTTCTTCTTTCATTTATTAGTATTATTTTATTCATTCCTCACATTTATAATGGAATATATTACAGCAGATAATAAAGATGCCACACTATTCTGCAGATACTCAAATTTCAATGGCGTGGTTGGTGAAATGGTATACTGAAGAGTAAAAACCGTGGATACCCGCGGTTCACGAGGGTCTACTGTAACATAATCTACTACCTGGAATATGTCATTTTATTTTTATCATGTACACAGGAATCAAGTGAATCACATAACTGTACAATGGCAGTTTGCCAAATACTTTACACCATAAAACTGTAAAACAGGAACCAGAATGTAATTTATCCCGAGAAACTGTTACATTATTTTCTTTATTATACATCACAGGTACTGTATACAGTACATTAATACATCCAATAATTTTTTTTACATAATATTGAAAAAGTATAAAACACAAGCCCCTTTTTGCTCGTTTTGTACAAATTTTAAAATACAGTCAACCCTCACTTTACGCGGTCCCACATTCCGCGTTTCCACGTTTACGCGGTATCCTGCCGAAACCGGAATGCTCACATTCCGCGGTGCGTGTACCCCTTTACGCGGAGAGCGGCTGGCGAGCCGCGCCATTTTTGGATCCAAACCTCCCGCCATGTTGTGTAAGCCGCGCGAGCAGGGCGCGCACAAGGTCGCCCAGTCATCAAACCATTACAGGTAGTTCTGCTATAACGCGATAATTGTGTTCTTGTAAAATATCGTGTTATAGAAAATCGCGTAATAGAAATAACAGGGCTTATGGAGAAAATAGGGTTAGGTGCAGATTACTCGAAATCGAAAACATTTAGTAGTTAGCCTAACACAAAGGATAGCACAGTCTAAATAAATGTTACATTCATATCTAATAATGAAATCATACAGTAAATGTAACACTTTACTTGATGGGGGAGAAGGGTGATTTTGAGGTTGATAAAATCGAGCTTCTCTTCAAGTGTTATATCCTTTCTTTTACGATCATCACCGGGAATTCTATCACCAGAACGCTTCTTGTTGATATTCTTCTTTACTATATTCACAGTTAATACAGTGGGGTATGCTATAACGAACGGATCCTACTAGAACGGTTTTACCTATAAAATTGAGAATGCTATAACGAACGAAACTCCTACAACGAACATTATTGAATTTTTTTTTTTCTAATTTATTGTTTTTTATTACAAATATTAATGATATTCTTTATTTCAGGGGTTTAGATGCATATTTATGCACTTTTTTACAATTTTTACAATTTTATATTATATTTTTCAGTGTTAAGTGGTTGTATTTGGGGGCCTGGAACGGATTAATCCTATAACGAACGAATGCTATAACGAACAAGGTTCTAGAACCAATTAGATTCATTATAGCATACCCCACTGTACCACAAAATTGGAGAAATAGTAAGCAAAAATCGCGTTATAGCAAACAAGCGTTCGCGTTATACAAATATCGTTCCTAATTCATAAATCGCGTTAGAGCAAATTCGCGTTATCAAAACACGCGTTATAGCAGAACTCACTGCCGAGTTCTTCACCGCCACCCACCACAGCCGGCCCAAGTCAGTGATAGTGATAATTATAGTGAGGATATGGACTTATATGGACTTTGAGGGGTTTGACAAAGAGGCCCTGCAAGCCTCTGTGGTGGATAGTGAAACAATTGATACAAGTGATACAGGTGAGGGCCAATACCGGTAATCTGCCCTCTGCCTCGGAACCAACCCCCCATCCCCGTGTGCCCAGCCATCTTTTCTACTAATGTAAGTGTTAAAAAATCTAATATTATTGATATTTCTCTTAATTATTAATTGTGTGCATACCATCATAAAATTTAGAAGTTATTTTTACTACAACGTAGGTATTGTGTCTGAAAAAGTGGAGTTTGGGGGTCGGCCCAGTCTCTATTTTAATTAATCCCATATGTTATGTTGTTCACTTTACGCGTTTCTCACTTTCCGCAGTACCCTGTGGGTTGAATTAACCGCGTAAAGTGAGGGTTCACTGTATACAGCTCCTCCCCGACTTACGACGGGGTTAGGGACCCAAATCCAGGTCATACCGGGTAAGTCGAAATGGTCGCAAGTCGAAAATGCTTAAACAATACATAGAAAATTTTAAATGGGTGTGTCTTTTTCTTCTCAGCACCACAAAACTCTCACTTTTAAGCTTGCCAGCCATTTTAAAGGGAATTACATAACTTTTGAAGAAATAGAGGTAACAATGGGTAATATTCAGCTCAATCATTGAGGAACTGCTAACCTGTAGTATATAATTTTCCCTTTTAGGGCCAGATTCAGGAGTGGGCAAAGTGGGCAGCTGCCCAGGGGCCTCCACATGTGCGCTAGTATCTATATCAGGGCTGGACGACTTGAAATCACATGAATGACTCCAGTCATGTCTCACTTTTGTGTGCGCGCGCGTTGGGAATTTGTACACTATCAATAAATACACAGTTAATTAAAAATTTCTCAATGTTCTAATTTCCTCAATATAACTGCATATGGCTTCAAAATTCTCCAAAGAAGTGTTCTAATTTCAAAATTTTCCCGGGGGGCTTACAGCGCCCCCCCCGGAACTCCCAGATGTTTAGGCTCGCTTCTCTCGCCACCCAACCCTCTTGGGTAGTTATAATGAGGGGGGCCTCCACAGGTCTAAATCCGGCACTGTTCCCTTCATATAAACAGTGAACAAGATATAAAAATCCCTTCGTGCCATGAAATCTGATTAAAATAATCTCATGTATTTAATGCAAGAGTATCTGGTTTAAGTTTCTGGTTATCTATGTAAGATAGCCTGAAAATGTTCATGATCATCAAAATACATTTAGTACTGTCAGAAATTAAGATATCCAATCTATGGTTATTACTCAGTAAGCTGCTTTCTTCACACCATTATTGTACCCACATTACTAGTCACATAAATCTATCCCACAATAATATTAGAGATACAGTACTTACTGGGGCCCATTTGCACCAAGAAAACTTAAAAGTAACCCAATGATAATGTGTTGTTATGAAGCTTTAAATTGGGGTGATCATCTAAGTTTGTGTTCATGTTTCTGAGAACATGAATAGCAGCTCTGTCTAAATTTTGCATTCTGAACAAAGTTTTACTTTTTCCATTATAAATAAGTGAAGTACTGCACACCAATACATGACCCCCCATCAATACCCCTTAATTTTTTTTTAGATTCTACAAAAATGGCTACAAAATCACCAGTTTTATTCTAACAAAACATATTGATAAACACACATTAGAGTCTTATAGTACTGTATTTATTATATATATATATACAGTACAGGTACAGTACTGTACAGGGTATATGAAATTTTTGCAGTAGTTAATTCACTGATGCTGTTTAAAGACAAAGAAACAAATGTACAAAAGGGAGGATGGACAAATGGAGGTCAAATAAAAGCTACCTTATTGTTTCTCTGGTAAGGAACAATAATAAATAATAATCTATAACAATGTAGATCAGGGCAAAGCACCAAAAATATTTAAAAAAAATTTAATTAAATTTTTCTTTATACATTACTGTATAGTAGTACATACACAGCTTTGTCCAGACACCATTTACATGTGGGTAATAACCATATAAGGCCATCAATATCATGGCAATACTTAAACTGAAAATACGGCATTTTCAGTGTGTGTATCACTCTTCACTGCATACAAATGAATAATGGCAGAGGTAGCACAGTTATTGAGCCAGACTGGTGAAATAATAAAATATTTGATTATAAAATAATTTCCTCTTAATACTAAACAAAGAAATTACCTATTGCTTATAGTAAGGCACCTTTGTATGTACTAGGTGTCATATTGTGGACTGTTTGCTGAAAGCGGAAGCCCTCAAAGCCCGAGGTCATTATAGGTAGATGTGAGCTCAAGAATAAGAAAAAATTTCTACTTATACTGATAGTCTGTGTTCTAAGTTTTATGACTAATATCACTGTTATTGAAGCTTAAATATTTTCCAATATATTGTTTGAGGTATCAATTCATCTAGGAAGCCCTAAGCATATATGATGATGAATATATACAGTAAAAACTTGATTTAACTCATCACAAAGTATACTTTTATGATTCATTACACATTGTCAATACTGTACTGTAGATGGCAAAAGTTAGAATAAATTAAATTATTTGAAACAAATAAACTGCCAATAAAAAATCATTTTAATATTGGTACCTATACAGTATACAAATATAGGGGGCATACAAGTTTGGTGCACAAACAATTTCTATTACATTTGTGACCACTTAAAGCAATTCTACATTACAGTATTTGTACTTACACAATAGGTACCTATACAGTACACTATTTGTAAAACAATACTGTACTTGGAGAAAACATTGTCTCTCTCTACCCTTATCAAATGTTTTTATTTTATAAATGCTTAGTAAAAACAAAACGTTTGGAAAAATAATAAAAACCAGTTATTACTGTATATCACCTCTATAAATTGTTGCTCCCTAAAAAATTAGATACCGCTGTGACTAATAAGGCTATTACCAAGTTGAGAGCAGTCGTACTGATGCAAAGTCAGAAATTTAATCTGATTGCTTTGAACTAATCTAGCTTCTCTTCCCTTGGTACCAGATCCATGTATCTACGGATTGAGTTATCCATCACGAAGTGGATCCCATTATCAATTGGGTGAACAATGAAGGGAATGCATCCCAAGCCAATAGCTGTAGTAATCCACTTACGAGTGGTGAGGGGCACCTTTGGTATGGCTCGGGCCATGGTGAAGAGAGACCCTGCACATACCCGGTTGATGGTGAAGCCAGGCACGATGACTGATGCCAGGGCTTGCCAAATTAGTGTGTCTACTGCTGCATGTGTGATGGCCTTCTGAGTGGATCCTGGTTGCTGAAAGTTAAAAGCATTACAGGAGTATTGTACATGGTTTTTGTATGTCTGTACTGTAAATATTAAAGTTCCTACATGGGGACCAGTAATATAATACTTTATATAAAATTCTGTATTAAACTAAATTAAAGTTATCAGCTACTCATACAGTACAGTACTGTAGTTAGGAAAAAATTACTGACTACAAAATACTGAACCTACCTTACTCGTTTTTTTTGCTTTATCATAAGTATCGGCAAGCACGTATGCAGATGCTACACCGTATGTTGATCGTACAAACCATAATGGTGTTAAGGCCCGAAAAGCTTCTCCCACTTCATTGGCATAGCCTGAAAAAAAAAAAAATGTACTGTACTGGAAACCTCTGTAGATGTTGTATTTTTCAAATATTAAAATAACTGCACAAGGAGACATTTCTATATCATTAACTGGTGCTTCTGTAGCGTGCAGTCTACAAAGATATAATTATTCTAACTTAACTTAAGTTGACTTGACTTGCCCTAACCTGACCTTATCTAACCTATGCTAACTTAACCCAAATATCTTGTAGACTGCATGCTATAGTAGCACCTATTAACCTGTCAAACAGTATAATGTATAATCCACGAGTTAATATACAAAACTCTGCCACAATTACAAATTTACTCACCAAGCAGACGGAGAGGAGTGTCACGGTAAATATCCACTTCCTTTACTTCGGCCATCTTACCTAAAAATATAATAACAAATCATTTAAAGTTACCTATTCATACACTTGTCTTTTAAATAAACTACCTGCCATAAAACAAAGGATTGAGCTAGAAAGTCCCATTTTATGGCTATAGAGACGAGTCAAAGGTATTATCCATTAACCTGGGTTTGGTTAGGTTAGTTTAAAAGGCTAACAAAACCTAATCTAGCCTAGGTTGGGTTAGTTGATAAACTAACTTACCATCTTCCTTTTTTTGCTAGGGTATAACTTAAGTACTGTACAGCAGTGATTATCAAACTGGGGTTTGCGGATCCTTGGGAGTCCGCGAAAAGTTTTTGAGAAATAGTGCGTTTATCGTTTGTGAGAGATTTGGCGATTCCAATTTGCAGGATATTTTGGATTTGGGTTGAAATGAACAAATGCTTTGGACTATGATTTATTCTTTGATTATTGACAATATTTGTATGCGTCATGGTATATAAGGGGTCCTTGGTTGAAAAAAGTTTGAGAACCCCTGCTGTACAGTACAAGCACTATGAAGGAATTCATTATTGTTGCAAGAGTTAGAGGGGTCATATCTCCATATTTAAATAGCGATAATTTTCTTTCAAATCACCATGATAAACATAAGAAAAATCTATTTCGATTATAAAATTCCCATTATGGTGTAAGACAAATCTTGACCATTTTTATTTTGTTTCATGGGTTAATATTCGTGAGTGACCAAGCACGGAACTCTGTATTGATTTATATATAAGGAGATAGAGCAAAATAATAAAATACCCGGTATATACATTTCCAACAAAAATACTATTTTTTTTTTGCTTTATCTCCCTATACACAAATCAATGCTGTATACAGAAGTGTTTGGTCACTACCGAATATTTACCGTTTCATGTTATATATAAAAAAAGTATATTTAAACAGCACCAATACTGTTCAAAGGTATTTCCTTCCTCGCCCACACAATTTGAATTCCATACATTACAGTACTTAAAAATCTACACATCAGTAACTATATACAAAAATACCAGACCTGTTATACGCCCATATGTCTTTGTCAAAGTTTATTTCATTATCTTAATTGGGTGACAATAATCCCAGTGGACACAACATGGCTTAACACACGTCTGGTTCTTTACATTAAAATTATAAAACAAACACACCATAACACCAAAAAAAAGAAAGACAACATAACTTTGCATTGGTTAAAACTGAAATATTTGGCAAATACCGATTCTATTTCATCGAAGTTGTCTATACAGTAACTAACTAATGGGCACACTGCCAGCTTACACCTGCACCTCTCGCCATACACACGGTAAGACCAGCTGATGTGATGTAACGTGTAACGTGTTGTCAATACTACATGCCTAAAATATATATACTGTTTTGTACACGAGACAAGCAAATACAAATGTTATTTATATATAGCTTATAGGAATATGGGTTAATATTCGTCCATTGGCTGTCAGCAGGTTCCCGCCACGTTTACCTGAGGTTATACTCCTTGGTTGGCTCCTTTCCTCATCCAGTAGGTCAGTCCTGTGGGGTACGGGATGTTTGGTTCACACTCAGGATGGGATGGAGAAAGGAAACTCACAATGTGCTCTCTGTATACATGTTGTATTGGATGTACAGTGCAGGTTGGTGCTGGGAAGTGGCAGCGTGGTTACAAGCGTGATGTAGAGAGAGCTGGTTGGTGAGGATGCTCAGAGGAGGACCAGCTTGTGGGTCGCCATGCTCGCCGGGGGGAGCGAGGACCGCCAGGCAGGAGGAGGTGTTGCTTGCAGGTTGGTGTAGGTAGAAAAAGAGAGGTCACCACGAGGTCAGGTCTTATATAGCGGAGGTAGGCGTGGCTTAATAGTTGACCTCCGTCATGTAAGGCGGCGCTGGTTGACCTAGACCACGAGGCATACACTGGGGGAATTCGCGGGGTCAGCTACTCGGCGACAAACAGCGTTTGAAGGGGAGGAATCCACTACAATCCTTTCAGTATGAGAATAGGCTATTTTTTTTTACGTTTTTCAGTGTTTTACTCAAAATTTTCCTCAATTTTAGTGCAAATTAGCTGTTTCTGTTATAAATGAAACTGTTCATGTTTTACAAAAACTGCTAATTTGTACAACAAATGAAAGTCAGATTTGAGTAAAACACTGAAAAATGTAAAAAAAAAACTCATACCAAAACCTGAAGACAGTCAATGGACGAATATTTACCGAAATATAATATAAATTATTAATGAAGTAGCTAATAACAAAATCTTCATGAAATCCATGAAATAAACATAATATGGATACACACAACCAACAATAAAGGGAGTACTATTGCCGCTGGAGCCTGGAACCGGTGTGAAGGCAAACTAATACAAAAATAATATGTACACTATATTCATTTGTCATTTGAAGACTTGTGTGTATCATCTGAGTTAATATTTATATTCTGTCTTCTTAGTAAGGGGTTAAGGCGTACGATGCTGAAGCTTTGTAGTGGGCTCTGTGTGGCCATCTTTTAAATTCACAGTTTTCTAAACCAAACTAATGGGATTTTGGATATTCTATTGAGTATTGTTTTCAAAGCATAAGTAAGATTAATATATTTACTGATTTCATTGGAAAAGTAAGAAGTCATTAATAACAGCAAATTATATTGGTAAGAGTTAATAATACTCACATCTGTAGTTGGATTATGCAGATTCAAAAAGCTGCATTGCATTTAGCGTATTTTTTTATAGCTCGTGTAAATTGCCTTGCATCGCTAATGCAACTGTATGAAAAAAAAGTAAAACGAGGAAATGGTACAGTACATCGCCAACAGCAGGAGTGTGTCGTTACAGTTTGGGCTGTTTGTTATAGGCTCGTTGTCAGTCTGCAACCTCATTTTTTCCTTTCTATTTTATATTTAGAATAGAATGCAAAATTTAAGGACCCGGATGATTTGATGCCAGTCTGGTTTATTCAAATGGAAATTTTGAGTGTGCAAATAAATCCTGAAGGGGTCTTTGTAAAGATGGCTTTTAACTTATCATTCCGACGTCACCTGCTCAAATCAGAAGTCATGATTGGTGGCTACCAAATAAAACTATCGGTTAAAAAAATGACTCAAAGAATAGCATCGATATCAGAAAATTTATCTTGCGCTTATTGCGAACTACAGAAAATGAAATCCTTGATGGTGAAACAACGAAACAAATTTCACGTTAAAAAACAGTAGGCCAGTAGCCCTAGTTGGGTGACTTTTGAACGTCCGGAGTTTTAAAAACCCTCTTTCGTTGAAGAGGGTCGTCGTGTTTCAACCCGTCATGAAGGACACCTCACTACAGTACTTGACTGGGGTGGTGTGGCGGTAAAATTTAACAACGTATCGCCGCCCCTGGTGTAGCAAGAGACAAGCTGGAACCTCCTGGGGCGCGTCCTCCTTCATCAGCATGACTGTGACATGCGCCCAGCCGCGTGTGGTCAGCAGGTTGTGTTTGTTGTATAACCACAAGTGTGTTGAACACCATAACACACATGTGGAGGTGAAATTCCTGTCATCCTCAACCTCACTGACAGCTTCTCAGTGCACAATAGGTATGTACAAGCACTTGTATTTAATTATACAAAATGGTAAGTAATTAATATTGTATACAGGGGCGGATCCAGGAATATCAAAAGAAAGGGGGGGGGGGTCCAAGAAGTGTGGGTGGGGGAACGTGCAAGCACAGAGAGCCCACCCAGAATTTTTTTTAAATCTGACCAGTATTATGGGCATTTGGAGGCACTTGTGCACCTGTTATTAGGAGATATTCTGAGGTCGATGGTAATTACTTTTTACTGTACAAAAATGCCTGAGTACGGTATTATTGCGTTTACACACCGTTCATTCCTACCACAAATCTATTATCATATTCGAATAAGACGTCTAATTATAAGATAATTTTCATCTATTACATTACCGGCAGAAATGTATAATACTGAGATAGCTTTTCCAAAAAAAAAAATCTATTTTCTTCCATTAACCTCCCGCCATTATCGTCTGCCTCTCAGTGTCTCTCGCGCGTCTCCTTCGTAAATCATGACACGCATGCGTACTCGTACACGTCACGCGGCCAATCAAAAGCGTTTTTGCTGATTCAGAGTATATTTGGCCCAATCAAAATCGAGTTTTATTTTGGGTCTCATATTTTGAAATTGAAGTTCAGTTCCGACCATGGATGTCTGCGATGGATGCCACTTAAAGTATATGGAACTGATTGCGAGTTTTTGGAAAAAAAAACCCGTAGAAACTATAGCATTTTTCGATCGCATGGTGTTCTTCCCTCCTCAGTAAAGTGTTCTAAGAGCAAGACTGAATGTAAATATCGCAGACCAACATAGTGGCGTTGTGTAAGAATCCCAGAATCCAACGACGAACAAGAACCAGGCCAATAAGGTAAGGAATAGGTGATTCCATCATATGGTGAGAGTCAGTAAGTTAGGTTAGGTTAGGTTTTTGTTTTTCTAGTGTTTTTTTGTGTATTTTTTAGTCGCTTAGCCACTTTTTTTTCGGAAAACGTCAAACGAAAAAAAAACCCGGCTAATTTCCGCCAAAAATGAAGGTCATATTTGGTCTAAACAAATACACTAGAAAAATATATTTTTTACTTGCTAAAAGTGAACGGTGTGCCAATGCAAATTTACCGTCATGGTGTAAGTTTACATTTTGTGGACGAGGGTACTGACCAAGCGGGTCGATGTAAACGAGAACACAACGCTCAGTGACTGCAAAGTTTTTGGAGGAGTATTTACGGTAAATAATGAATTTCTTCCCATACAAAGCACTTAGAGACATCATTTTAGTGTCATATGTGCAGTTTTCACCGTGTTTTACCCCACAATTTCCCTTCTCCTTTATGCCCTGCCCACTATAAATGTAGACTATATTTGTGAGTACAGAAGCAACTAATGACGTACTGTGGTTATAATAATGTTCATATCAGATCAGATTCTCCTTCATAGTTTTTCTTGGTGAAAACCGCCAATTCTATCTTATCTTGGGGGGGGGGGGGTTGTCTTGGGGTGGTGAGCACAAGGGAGGAGGATGGGTGTGAGTGTTGCCTCTTCTAGAGACGAAGACAAAGAACAGTGTTTAACGATCCTGGCATTTAAAAATAAATTAACAATCGGCTTAGTGATGAAGTGAACTGTTGCGTGTGTCTGCTATACATATATGTACAGTACATAAAATTGTTTAATAAGTGTATTTCAGCGTCTGTAATGTATGTAAATGTTTTGTATGAGTATGTTATTGTTCCATTGTTTCTTCCCCAGCTATTATGTACTGTGTTATGGTATGGTTAGCGAAATAAAACAAGCCTTTCTGTCTCTACCAGTTATTATACGTAGTGAGCAATCAACAGGTTCGTGCAAGCCAAGTACTGAATGTGTAGCTATTAAGCGTAATAATATCATATTGTTATATATTATTCTGTTATGTTATTAGTATAATTATTTTCCATTGTTGATTGTTGTCTGAATATTGCTTTCATGCGTTCACTTTCACGCGGTGTTGGCCGCGTCTACCATCTGGAGTGAGGAACAAGTCCCTCACGTTCCTTGCAGTTTCTCCTACAATCTGACACAGGAGAGGGAGGTCCCTGATGATGGTGGTGGGATGGTAGTGTTGGTGATGATGTTAGTGGTGGTGGTGGTGGTAATTATGGCGGTGCTTGTTTGAAAACTTAGTTACACCAATATACACCTCAAATATGCTTAGGAGTTACTGTATGTCACTCAAGCTGAAATCACATTTTCGCTAATCTTCAACATTCGTTACAAAAATGGTCATTCGATTGTCCGAGTAAACACTTAAGAAATAGCGGCAGTGTGTTCGAAACGGACTATGTGCTTTTAAACTGGTAAACATACGAAAATTATCCTTTATATTTTTTCTGTATTCTAACTCGTTTTCTTGTTTACTTTTCTGTTTTGGTACACTTAGAAGTGTTTGTGTGTTTGTCTATATATTTTATAGAGTGTATATTGATCAGGAAGTTACCCGCAATATTCTTACTTAGTTCTGATTAAAGTAATCATCTTTATTTTGGATCAAGTAAATCGTATTGGTTTATTAGTTTAACCTTATATCCACATGACTGGTAGAAAGTTCTTGTTTTCTTCTCTATTGCTCCGAGCTTGCGTGCCTGCCTCCACGTGTGAACAAGATGCAGTAAATGAATACTTACTG